GCCAGTTTCTGACTCCAAATCCAGTATGCCTTCCACATTATCTTAGGGATGAGTGTGGAGTATAAATAACAACTGTTTCTGTTCTGGCCTGAAACTCTAAGAGTCTTTCCCTCCCAGACTGATTCTTTTGTGAAGGCAAACTAGGCCATCTTTTGCCTCAGTTCTTACTGAGCCTTCAATTATTGAATGGGTATTGCCTCAGACAAACTGGGATCTGGGAAAAATCTTGGCTTAAAAAGGCCATGGTCTCCCACTTCATCTGAGGCCATCGCCAGTTGTATTGACCTATGTCTTGCCACCGGACTCTGATGACTCTGAGAAGTGAGGTTGATGACTTTGCACAGCTCTGCCTCACTTAAATCCCATTCACAGGAAAGTTAAGACATCACTCTCCTGAAGTCATTGGTCCTCTTCAAGAACTAAGGATGAATGACAAGGGGGTGAATGCAAAGGACCAAACTCATAGTACATGTCTATCATCAACCAAATGGGAGATTCAAAGAAGGCCATATAGGAAGAACAAGGAGAGGAAAATGGCTTTGCCAGGATTGCACCCTGAAAGTCAACGCCACTTGGAAAACCACCATCTCGGATCGTCTCTCTTGTGATGGTCCAGCTGGGGCTGGCACCCATATGGCATTTATGGCATTTAGAGAAATGACTTAAACAACTCCATGAAATCACAAAATGAAAGTTAAAGCTTAGAAATTATCTGGTTCAGCCCCCTTAGTTTGCAGACAGGGAAATAGAGGTCTAGCGATGAAAAGGGATTTGCCCAAGGTCACATGGTGATTTGATCATGTAGTTGTTCACTTCTTTTGTCTCCCAGATAGTATCACTGGATAAAGTCAACAAGGAACCCTTGGCAATTGTAGAAGTTTTTATGAGGGGCTGCAAAAACACGCATCAGAAAATCTACAAAATGATACAATATCCCTTAGATCCAGACTACTACATCATGAGGAACGATATCATTAACTTCTCAAACAGAGCACTGAAAACATTTTACTCTGGGTTTCAAGGACAGTGGGAAACATCACCGCTAGTGAAAAGCATCTCACTGGAAAATTTCCTCTCTAATCAGATATGTTTTTATTAGGCTTTAGCATTTTGCTTTCTTGGCAGGACGTTACACTTTTAATAATCAGTGTCCCCCAAACAAGCAGCTCTTAGGAAACAGACACTGAAATTACCCACATAAAGGAACTGCTGTTAGATCATCAGCCACATATCACAAAGTCTGATCATTTAAAAATGTTACCTGGAGGCCTTCAGTCTTTATAAAATGTAAAAAAATATAACACCTTACCCATTTCACATTGTGATTGTGAAAATCTGTTAATTTATATTTATATTTTGTGCTTTATTTCTGCATCTCTTAAAAGGTAGATAAATGTTAGGCAGGCTTTGTCTCCAGTACTATTAGTTATTCCTAAAGTAGTGAATCACCAACACTACTATCTTCCTATTTCAGCTCCACAGATACTCTAGAGAGAAAAAAGGAGCTCGTTTTTACGGGACACTCAAAGATCTGCCATAGCTCCTTTTTCTTGTGTGTAGGTTCTTGAAAGTTTATGGGTTGATCCTCAGTTCCTGAGAATAGAAAGAAATAAGCTGACTGCTAATAATTCCAGTAACTATAATGAAAGGGACAGTTAGGCAGATTGATAGGGCTAATCTGATTTGGAAAGGAAATAATTGTGTTATGGATTTAGCCTATCACTTCTGATAACAAAGAGCCACATGCTTAAGACAGAGATGCCATCTGATTTCTCAGCTGTTGCTGATAACAAAGAGGTCATATGATGAAACAGATGGAATTCAGACAAAAAGACTGTTGAAAATGGTGTGGAAGTAGGAATGTGCTGGAATCAGCTCCTTCCTACCAGCTCATAGAAGCTGATTGTTAAATTTTCAGTGTAGAATTTATAGCTCAGGAATAGTCAAATGCTACAAATCAGCACTCGATTTATTTTGTTGATAGTCTAGACTTAAGAAAATGTTAGAGAAAATGTTAATAATTTAGATTAAACTTAGAAGTGTGTCATGTATACACCCCCCCTATCCTGCCATCATTCCCTGCAGAGCCAGATGGCAGGCATTTACCGGTGTACTCCTGTGTGGATGGCACAAGGCTGTAAAGCACAGTGCCCAGACCGATGGCCAATTCAGTCAAACCAGGAAAAAGCTGTTCCAGAAAGTTTGTTCTTGCCCATTCTTCAGGCAGCTATGTTATCACATAGGTAGAAACAACCTTACCCATACTGTAAATGCAGGCAACAATCCCTTTCCCTGGGAGCTAATATATCTCCCCCATTGTGACATTAGGGTCTTAGAAACTCCTTGGGACACACAGCACCACATCATTTACAATCTCTTTTTTTAAAAATGTAAATGTTAATAACTTGAATATAATGCATGACAAGAGCAAATTTTGAAGGACAGGTGAAAGTTGGATTCACCTAATTTTAACATAATAAAGTTCCAAATTCTAGGCTTCAAAGAGCTATTATTTTTTATGAAGCATTTCTCAATCTGATTTTCCAAACCATTGACAGTAATGCCTTACATTTGTCTAGCACTTTGTATTTTTCAAATCATTTTTATTTAGATGAGAGGCAATGTGGCATAGGGAGATTTGGGTTCAGGTCCTGCCTGTGACAAATATTAGCTATGAGACCTTGAATAAGTCACTTGAATAACACATTCCTCAGTGCCCCATGCTACCCTCTAAAACTAAGTTATGGAAGAACGGCCAAGCTACATTGGTGGAGAAAGTTTTTACACTGGGGATTCCCTATATCAATGAAAATTCAAGTCTAGACCAAATAGATGTGTGTGTGTGCGTGTGTGTTTCATTTAATCTTTATGATGTTCCGGAACAGATTTGATTTTCACCATTTTACCGATGAGAAAATAGACGCAGGGAAATTAAATGATTGGCCCAAAGTCACAAATCTAGTTAGCATCAGAGTCAGGATTAGATATAGGAAAAGTCTGAAAGGAAGGAATGAAATAGGACAGTATTTAGAGGGGGCAGAGGATAAATGAGAGAATAAGGTCCTAGACAAGGTGGGAGGTAATAATAATAGCTAGCATTTACATAGATTATATATATTTGCAAAACACTTTATAAATAATATCTTATTTGATCCTCACAACGACGCAGGGAGGTAAGTGCTATTATTAATCCCATTTTACACATAAGGAAACCTGGGCAAAAATGAAGTGACTAGCCCAGGGTCACACAGCTAGTAGTATCAGAGGTGGGATTTGAAACCAGGTCTTTTTAGCTCCAGACCCAGCATTTTATCCCCTACACCACTAAACTGCCTCAAGAAAGGATGGGATCAAGAGCAGCACTCCATGCTTTGGAAAGGAGGAATACTTTTTCTGAGATACACAAAAAGGCAGTAGTAAAGAATTCTGTTTGGAATTTTATTCTTTGTCACATTAATAAATGCTTTTGGTGTTGCTTCATAAATATCTTAGTAGAGTTGAGAAAAATGATGACTTAAGATAGCCATGAAGAAGGAAATCTTTTTATCAAAATCTCATTAATAAACTCTTAGGATTTAGAGCTGGAAATAGCCTTAGAAATCACCTACTTCTACTCCATTATTTTACAGATAAGAAAATTGAGGTCCAGAGAAGTCAAATGACTTGATTACAGTCGTAACAGTAATAATTGGCAGGGCCAGGATTCAAACTCTGATTCTCTGAATCCAAATCTAGAACTTACCCCACTGTACCAAAACCACCTAGGGAGCTATTTGCTGGAGATCACTTGGTGAGATCATCAGCTCTCACGGATTTAATTACTATCTCTATGCTGATTCTCAAACTCTACCTATTCATCCCTAACCTCTCTGCTGACACTCAATATTGTATCTCCTTTCACACGCCTTTCAGACTTCTCCATCTGGATGTTCAGTAGAGACAACTGAAAATTGACCTGTCCAAAACCGAACACATTATCTTTCCTTAAACCCTCCTTCTTCTAACTTAACTGTAACCGTAGAGGGCAGTACCAACCTCCCAGTACCCCAGACTCACAACCTAGGTGTCATCCTAGACTCCTCACTGTCTCTCACCCCCCATACCCAATTTGCCGTAAGACCTATTGATTTCACTTTTGCAACATCTCTCAAATTAACCACCTTCTCTCCTCTGACATTGCAGACCCTCATCACCTCATGCCTGGACTATTGCAGTAGACTGCTAGTGGATCTTCCTGCCTCAAACCTCTCCCTGTTCCAGTCCCTCTTCCATTCAGGTATTAAAGTAATTTTTTTAAAGTACAGGCCCAACCAAGTCACCCCCTACTCAATAAACTCCAATGGCTCCCTATCACCTACCATCACAACACAAAATCCTCTGTTTGGTGTTCAAAGTCCTTTAAAACCTAGTCCTTCCTCCCCCTCCATTTCTTTCCAGTCTTTTTACACCACATATCCCATCACATACTCTTCAGTCTACTGACAATGTCCTCCTTGTTGTTCTCCAAACAAGACACTTCATCTCTTGGTAGCATTTTCACTGGCTGTTCCCCATAATTGGAATGTTCTCCTCCTCATATCCATCATCAAGTCCTAACCAAAACCCCACATTTTGCAGGAAGCTTCTCCCAATCGTTCTTAATTTTAGTGCTTTCCCTCTATATATATGTATTTCATATATACATATATAGTGAAAGAAGAGAAAAGAAGAAGGAGAGAGAGAGAGAGAGAGATTGTAAGCTCTTCAAGGGGTGGGACTATCTTTTACCTTTCTTTGGATTTCCCCAAAGAAAAACTAAAAAAAATTTTTTAGAACTAAATTTTTCAATACTAAGCGGTCTTCATCATGGAAATGAAAATTAATTCAAAGATGATGATTTTAATCTCTCTCCCTCTTTTCTTTGTGTGTGTTTATAGAAATATATATGTATGTATGTATGTGTACATATACACATTCATATATATATATATTTGCCAAATAAATGAAATGTCAATACCTACTCAAAATACAGAGTTATGTCTGTTGCCAGTATGGACTGCTTCAAAAGCTGCATGAGGTCACTGTATTCCTTGGAAGATAAATTAGCAAAGATGTTGTGACCCTGGAATGAGAAAATGAAAGGTCATAGAGAATACTCAAACCACAGTTGTTTCTTCTGTATTTTTCCTAAAACAAATGTTGGTTTGGAAACATAGCAAAACAAACCATAAAAACATAGCCAAGTGAAGTCCAAGTTACATGACAATAACTTAGGGCTTTTGAATGGAGATGTTATATAAATAGACAAATATGCAGGCAAATGTAACATTGTAGGGAAGAACAAACATCTTTTAAAAGGTTTTACCATAGTTACAAAGAAAAGATATTGGAAATGTCTGAATCATTGTATATTCATATTTATAAACATGTATCTACTCACATCCACATTTTACTCATTCAATGACATTTTCCCATTAGGATTATCATATGGAAAGTTTATAAAATACTTTGGCATCCTACCCAACCTTAATCCCAAAATAAATATTGGTTTCACAGTAAACATTTTAAGCTGTCATTTTGGAAACATTTGCTTTTGAAACAGATGCTTTCAACTGGGGGAAATTCAGTTAAGTCATTAATGTGTCTAAGAGAAATGCCTGATAGATTTTACTTAGAAAATATTTCCAGTTCAGCTCTCTTCTCTCTCTTGACTTATGCAATAATGTTATTACTGAAGAGTTGAATTTTTGTAAATCAAAAATAAAATTTTAAATGAACTAAGTGGCTTATTATTCTATTCTATAGTTACTGCTTTTTGTGAAGTGAATAATTCTTTTTCAAAGTGAATAATTACACCCTAATTTTTCTATTTTGGACATATGGATCTTAATATATTTGCTTATAGAGAGGCAGATCTACATAGATATGGTTAGCATGATATTAATAGTATTAAGCTTGATTTGAGGGATAGTTAGGGGAAAAATCTGAAAAAAACTCTTGAGTTAACTCCTGTCCCACTAATTCTTTAATATCAATTAGAAAATTACATCTTCCAAGACGCTAAATGAGAATCTGCTACTCTGAGTTAATTTACCTCCTATGGATGAACACTTTATTCTCAGAGAATAGTTATTCATATTGGTTCCAACTGGGACCCAGTCCAATATTAATAATAATTTTCAAATGAACTCTTCCAGATCTTTAATTCAGCCAGTAGAATGAAGACAAATAGCTAAATGAAAGCTGGTATCACAAAGTCGGTGAGAATCCCACACATCATAGATCAGACTCAGGGGGCTGAGACCAGGGGTATGAGGAATCAACTGTCCATCTCTAACTACAGAACCAATACCCTCTGCAGTGTCAGGAAAATGACTCCTGGTGCTGATACAACTAAAAACAGATTTATCTTGACTAATTAGGCTGAAAAAAATGGAATGTTCTGTAAAAAAAAAAGAAGGATTTCATTTTAAATAAATGCACTGTCATGACTTTGAAGGGCAAAGCTAATAGAATAGAAGAATGATTTCAAGATTTGGAGTCAAAAGACTTGGGTTCAAATCCACACTGTGCTACTACTTCCTGTTACTTACTTGGAGAGGTCACTTAGGTATCTGGTACTCAGTTTTATCATCTATAAAATGAGGGCATTGGACTAAATGGTCTCTAAGCTCCTGTCAAGTTTTGAAACTATCATCCTATGATGATTAGCAAAGTATTGTCTAGCAGAGGATTGGCAAGACTGACTTTAATATATAGAAAAGGATGATTTGAAATGAATATATTCTTTAAATGAGAGGCAGCATATGATAGTGGATAGAGAGTCATTCTTGGATTCAGGAAGATGGATTCAGGTCCTGCCTTTGACACATTCTGGCTTGGAGACCACTCTATCTCTCAATGCCCCAGGCAACTTTCTAACTAAAAATTGCAGAACATTTACTGATTTTCTTTATACACAAATCTTAAAAACATTTAAAAACTTAAAGACATTTTGTTGTTTTAAATAGACATAGGGTTTTTCCTTGTTTAGACTATTTGCTAAACAAATCTTTTCTTCATAAATACTTTAAAGGTTAATTTCAACTAAGATTGTCTGAATATACACTTTCAACTTAGAAAGGATTTCATTAATGGGGTTTTGTTGCACTAAGGTCCTTGTATTCATGTGTAATAATTGTCATAGACAAGAAAAGGGACTTGCTATCATGAGAACTGGATGAAGTAGTTGGGTATGTTTAGGATGGAAAAGAAAAGCCTTAAGGTGACATGATAACTATCTCCAGGAACCTAAAAGGCAGTCATGTATAAGAAGGTTTGCCAATATTCTGCTTGTCCTCAGATAGTAGAACAATGGCTAAGGAACTAGGGCTAAGAGGCTGCTGAGGAACAGATTTAGACTGGCTTATACATAGGGAAAAATCCTAACAATTATAGCTACTCAAAAGTGGAATGGGCTCCCAGGCTTAGACACTTCTTATCTATGGAATCCTGGGCACATAACTTGACCTCTGTTTGTCTCAGTTTCCACATCTATAAAATGGGGATAATAACAGCACTTACCTCAATGAGCTGTTGTGAAGATCAAATGAGATCATAATTGTAAAACACTTAGCACAGTGCCTGGCACATAGTAAGTGCTATATAAATGTTAGCTGTAATCCTTATTATTATTATCTTGGGAAGCATTGTGTTCCCTCTCACTTGAGGACTTCAAGCAAAAGCTGGATGACCCTTATTGAGCATGTCACAGAGAGAATTCTTATCCATTTATAGATTAGATTACATGTCTTCTAAGACTCCTTTTAACTCCAGGATCTGTGATTCCCAAATGCAAGTAAGATCAGAGACTCAGCTAGGTGGTACAGTGGATAGAGCACTAGCCTGGGAGTCAAGAAGATCTGAGTTCAAATCCTGCCTTGGATACTTACTAGCTGTGTGGCCTTGGGCAAATCACTTAATCCTGTTTGCCTCAGTTTTCTCAACTGTAAAATGTGGATAATAAAAGTACCTACCTCACAGGGTTGTTGTGAGGATAGAATGAGAGAATATTTGTAAAGCACTTTGCTAGTCTTAAAGAGCTGTATAAGTGTTGTTGTTATTATTATCATTATCTCAGTGCCCTGAACACCATTTCCTTACCTTGAGTTAACACTACTCTCTGATCATATCCACAGTTATTGTAATTGTTAATTATACTATCTTGTAAGTTCCTTAGGGCCCAGCCCAGTAAATTGTCCATAATGGGTGTTTGTTTATGGAATGAATACTGAATTTGTGTAGACAACTCTGGTATTTCCAACACAAGTGCATTTACCAGTACTGAAAAGAAGGTGTGGCAGAATGGAAAAAGGAGTGATTTTGAGTCTTAGTTACACACACTTACTAAGCGTGTGACTTTGGTTTTTTCACTTAAATTCTCTGAGCTATAATTTCTTCTGAAAAGTGGGGATAAAAATATTTGTCATCTCTTCATCACGAGGTAGTTTTGCAGATTAAAATGAAATGATACATGGAAAGGGCTTTTTCATCACAAAGTGTTCATTTGCTGGAGGGAGAGAGATGAGAAAGAAAACATCAGAGTAGAGTGGAACTACTGGAAAAAGTTTGCTGTCAGATCCCAGGTCTCGTTCCAACTTTACCCCGAACCTGATGTGTGCCACCTGGGTGGGGTAAATCACCCCACCTCTTTGGGTCTTTGTTGTTGTTCAATTGTATCTGACTCTTCATGACCCCATGCACCATACTGTCCATGGGGTTTTCTTAGCAAAGGTACTGGAGTGGTTTGCCATTTTCTTCTCCAGCTTATTTGACAGATGAGGAAACTGAGGCAAACAGTGTGTAGTGACTTGCCCAGGGACACACCACTAGTAAGTGTCTGAGGTTACATTTGAACTCAGGTCTTCCTCACCCCCGACCCAGCACTCTATCCACTGCACCAACTAGCTGCCACCCCTTTGGGCCTTACTTGTTTGCAAAATGAAGGGATTAGACTAGATCATCTCTAAGATTCTTTGTAGTTCGAACATTCTGAACATTCTATGTTTTATGAACAAATGTGAGGCAGCATGAATAGCAAATAGGAGAGTGGCCTTGGAATCAGGAAGACCTGGTGTTGAGGCCTCCCTCTTACACATCTAGGCTGTGTGGTCATGAGCAAGTCTCTCCAAAGGTCTGGGCCAGTCTCTAAGAGTACAAATTATAAAGGAGTTGCAGTTTGCACATGAAGGGTTCTCCACCCAGAGGAAATCACAGGTCTGTACCAAAAGAAAAAAAAAATGAAATACACCAATACTTTGACTTGCCCCTTCTGACTGACTCTGACCTTTCTCTCCTCTGTCCTGTCCTGTCCTATCATAACCTATTCCTATGTCTAACCCAGCATATACAATATAAAAATCCCATACCAACCATCCTTAGCTGAAATTCTACAAACATTTAAATGTTTACTATATGTAATGCACTGTGCTAGGCGCTGAGACTATGAAAACAAAAATAAATCAATCCCTGCCCTTAGGGAAAATTTTCAAACCAAGAGATTCCAGGGTATTTCTGCTTATCTCTGCTGGCTCCTGTCACTTGGGTCTAAGCATCTGTATTTCATTCAGAAGGGAGAATACACAACCACCAATCAATTCTCCCATTCCTACTCTGAATTTGGGGTCTTAGCTACAGATGGGAATGTCAACTACCCTTCTTGGGGTCAAAGGCTTTCATGAACTTGCAAAAGATGTACTTTTTTTTTTAAGACACTGGAGGAAAAACACACCATATTTAATGAGAATATTCCAGCAAAGTAGGGTCTTAATGATGATAATAATAATAATTAATGGCACAGCTAGAGAACTGACAAATAATGGTGAACAGATGATCCCTTCCTGGTTTCAAAAAGTCTGCATGCTTGCAGAAAATTAAACAGATCCCTTTCTGGCAGTATTAACTCAGCAGCCTCGGTCACAGTCTGGTGGTAGTGGATGGTTTTCTTTGTTGGGAGCTGAAAGTGTAGAAAGGGACCTCCCCACTCTAACCTCCTGTGTTACCATCTGAAGGATAAATAGGGAAAATTATCTTCCTTCAGATTCTTCCTTCAGCTGGGTTCCTTGCTGACAAGTCAGTCCTGCTGGCAATTATAATTTCTTAGTCTGTCTCCAAGGGCTTCCTCCATTCTACTGAGAAAACATATCTTTCTCATGCTGTTTTCCTCTCTGTAACCTTTTAAAATCGGTTTGCATTTCACAAAATAACTAGCCAGCCCTCTTGAGGCCTGCTACAATGGATGATCTGTTTGCTTTGCTACTTCTTTGCTGAGTTCCTCATCCATTTACGGGAGGAAATAAATGTACTCAGATCATAATCTATGGGCAATGACATTCTTTGAGGGCCAATAGAATAACATCAATGAAAGCATTTTATCTCTAGGATTCTGCTAGTACCATTTACACTTGACTGTCTTTCCACTTAGTGTGAGAGTAGGGGAAAGGTGATAGGCAGATATCTAGCTAGAAAAGTATTTATTTTAGTTATTGTTGTAAGCAACTGTTATCAGTGATTTTGAAATCCTCCCGGAGGGAAATGATAAGATTTTATACATCAACACTCACTGGTTGTTTTTAAACAGTAATCTTTACAGTACTTTGTAAAGACTAAAGGGAAAATGCATAGTTCTTTGAGTAAAATCAACAACTTAGACTTTGGTCAAGTTATTGGTACAAGTTTTATTCCAAAAAAAGCAAACTATGAATATGTTAGTATTCTACCATGATGACCTGAAAATTCACGTATCAAATTAGTAGAAATTATTTAAAGCAGATGATCCTTGCATTTTATCTGTGTATTTTCATTGCTGAACAGTGCTTGACACATACTAAGACAGTTAATAAATGTTTATTTTTGATTAATTTATCTTAACAATCAGGCAAAAATCAGGTAGATAGGACCAGTGAAGAGTTGGCATGTCATCTCAGACTAGCATAACAAGGACCACCAAGGAATAGAAAAGGGCCAACATTCAGGGGGGAAAAAGAATCTTCCTATTCTACCTAGGCTACTCATGGTATTTAAAGAAATACTTAGGAAGTAAAGGCTTCCACTGATTTCTGGTTCAGAAGGCAACTGGAGAAATTAGCTCTGTACCTCACTTTGCAGAATCATCACGGCATGATTAAAGTGATGGTGCTCCAAGGTAGCAGAAGTTCCATAAAGCTGGGCCAAAGCAGATCCACTCCTGAAAGAGGATAACAGGGTAAGATACTATCCCCCTCACAACAGAATCCCTTGAAATTTCAGATCTTTGGAGTAGTCTGAATGCCAGCATGACACATGCTGCAAATACCCACAGGCAAGATCAGTCCAACGTAGATGTTTGCATGGTTTCTGGACAAGGCACCTGAATAACAACTTAGTTAAGCATATATAGGCAGCCCGGTTCATTTGGGGGAAAATGAAGAGGAGTGGGGGAAAATGAAGAGGAGTAGGGGAAAAGAATAGTAGGCTAGGGAAATTTGTGAGAGGTAGGGGGAGGACAAATAAAAACTTGGCCAAAATGGAAAAAGAATATTATATAACTTCGAGTAGTATAATGTAAGTAAGTCATTAAGATGGAGAAGCCAAGGCCCAAGTCTAAGAGTCATGAATAATCACATATTAAGAAAATCAATAATAATAATAATTTAAAAGCAGCATTTATATAACATTTTATTTATAACATTTACAAAACACTATATTATCTCCCTCCATCCTCACGACAACCCTGTGAAGTCAGGAATGTTATTATTGTCATTGTACATATGAAAAATCTGAGGCTTATAGACATTAAATAATCACACAGTTGGGAAATGTTTGAGGTGGGATGTGAACTCAGGTCTTCCTGACTCCAAGTCTAGAGATCTATCCATTAATTAACCATTACTGATAGTGGAGGTTTTCTGGAAGCAATTGTTGCTATGATGATGTGTTATGGGAGAAAAGCACTGTGTGTTTCTATTTTAAAATAGTATACTTCTAATTTAAGTGTAATTTTTAAAGTAAATTTTTGATAACTTTTGTTTTTATGTGACTAACATTGTCCATTATATTCCTTTTCTTGTCTCTTCCTACAGAGCCATGCTTTATAATGAATAAAATTTAAAAGGTCCTAAATAAATATGATATAAATAAAATAAAAGAGGAAGAAAGAAAAATTTCTATAAAGCTAACCAATATATCAAAGAAATTTTATGTTATATGTAGTGTTTCCCATCCATGGTTCCCCACTTCTACAAAGAAACAAGGGAGGCAGAAACGTGGGATGTTCTATGTGTGAAGGGAGTGCCTTCTCATTTTATTTCTTTGGGGTTAAGGTTGGTCATAATTTCACAATATAGTTTCAATTACTGTTTCCATTTACATTGTAATTATTGTGCATATCATTTTCCTGGTTCTGCTTACTTTACTTTGTATCAGTCCATGTAAGTTTTTCCATATTTTTTGGTAATCATTATTTCTTAAAGCAAAGTAAGATTCCATTACTTTAATCTACCACAATGTATTTAGGTGGCACAGTAGATGGAATGCCAAACCTGAAGTCAGGAAGACTCATCTTCCTGAATTCAAATCTGACCTCAGACACTGTGTGACTATGGACAAGTCACTTAACCTTGTTTGCCTGAGTTTCCTCAACTGTCAAATGAGCTGGAGCAGGTAATGGCAAACAACTCCAGTATCTTTGCCAAGAAAACCTTAAATGGAGTCAATAAGAGTTGGGTATGACTGAACAATAACAGAATTGGTTAGGAGAAACAGCAAATAGCTGTTTGACTAGAACATGAAATATGTATAATCAGCCTGGATAGGTGGGTTTGGACTGAATTGTGAAGGTTTTTATATGCCAAATAGAGGAGTTTATATTTTATCTAGAAGGCACTACAGGACCATTGAATCTTCTTGAATGCAAAGTAACATGGCTAGATCTATACTTTAAGAATAATAATTTGGCAGCTAGGTGGAAGACAGGTTAGAGAATGAAGAGACTGGAAGTAAGGAGACTAATTAAGAGGCTATTTCAATAGTCCAGGTTAAAAAATAATGAGGGCCTACACCAGGGTGGTACCCATGTGAGTGGAGAGATGGGGACACATACAAGAGACTCATAAGAGGTAGAACTGACAAAACTTGGCAACTGATTGGATACAGAGGGTTGAATGAGAATGAAGAGTTGAGTATAACTCCTAGACTGTGAATATTGGTGACTAAAAGAGTGGTAATACATCTATGTCCTGACTAGCACAAACAATGAATCATGTGAAGTGGTTGCATGTATTTGAATTCATACTGTTCAAAGTTATAATTATGTACAATATGGTAATTGGTTCCAGAATAATGGAAATATACAATGTGAATTTGAATAATGTGACCACTTCTCTGGATTTGTTATTTGCATAAATCAGGACCTAGCTATATTCTCAACAGAAACAGGGAAGTTAGAAAGGAGGTGAGTTTATAGGGAAAGGTATGAGCTCAGTATTAGACATGTTGAGTTTGAGATGCCCATGACACATGCAAATGGAAATGTCTAACAGGCAACTGGAGATGCAGAAGCTTGGTAGAAAAACGTGGGCTGAATATGTAGATTTAGGAGCTATCTGTGTAGAGTAGACCACTGAATCCATGAGAGCAGATGAGATCACCAAATACAGATTTAGAAGAGAAGAGGACCTGGGACAGATCCCTTTGCCTAGCATAGGGGGTGTCCTATCAATGATTATTTTGCAAAAGAGACTGAGAAGAATTGGTTGGACAGATAGGAAGAGGATACTTGGGCAAAAGATTAGAAATTAGAGGAGAGAATAAAGTTAAACTGATTAACTAACATCAACTCAGTGGCATGAAAACCCAGAGAAAAGAGAGTATCCAGAAGGAATATCCAGCATTTTCTAGGGGGTTGGTTATGAAAGAGAAGAAAAATATAATGAGAAAGATTAAAAAGATGGTAGGAAGGAAACAAGCACTTAATAGATCTTGAGTGCCAGACATTGTGCTAAGCTTGGAGAATACAAATACAAGCAAAAAGAAAGACCATCCCTGATCTCAATGGATTATATTCTAATGGGGAAAGAAAAAACACAAAAGAGAGCTGAAAAGTGGATTGAAGGGAGGAGAGAATAGTTTTGATGTCTGGAAGCCAGGAAGAGAGCCAGGAGGGAAAGAAAGAGTCTGGGACCCTCAACAAAGTGGAGTCTACAGAAGGAACTCGCCAAATGGGATAGGAGTGGGGGGTGGGGGTGGGGTTGCTACAGTGGGATGTTCTATGTTGAAAAGGCCAAAAGGAATGTTGGCTATTCCAGGGTGAGGAGAGTCCAGGTGCTAAGGGAAGTTTAAGGATGAGACAGAATAATTTGGAAGTCCAAGAGCCAGGAATAAGGCTGGGGAATGGTAAGGTGAAGTGAGTACGTATATTCATCAAAGCGGAGAGAATGGGAGATGATTTGAAATATGGAATTGGAAAGAAAGGGAGTATATGAAGGATGACTCAGTTTTTTCACTGAAGTGTGAACAAAATTCTCTGCTAAGAGGGCTTATGTAAGTGGCTTGAGTAGAGAAGAGAAGTTTTAGAACTGCTGTCATGGAAGATTGTGATAGAAAGTCAATTGGGGAAGAATCAGAAGGATTGGTGTGAAAGCAATCTAAAAGACCCAGTTAAGATTAGAATATAAATTTGTAATGGACTCAAGTCAACTGTGTTATTGTGTGACTCTCCCTAGTGGTGATTCAAGTACCTGAGTAAGAGTAGGGAAAACGATGAGTGATAATTTTGGGTTGGGGTTTAGGCACTAGTTGTAGTAAGACAATTGGGCAAAAGACTAGAGGTTAGAAGAGAGTATAAAGTTGAAAATGGGTTTAGGAAGAGCAAGGTCCAAGAAGGGATAGAAAGATAGGAGATTTTGGTCAGAGGAATTTCAGAGTTACGAATTATGGAGGTGGAAGACTTGCAGAAAATAATAAGAGCAAGGATATGATCAGCTCTATGTATGGGGTAGGTAGAGTGAATGTAAGTATTGTGGGAATGGAGGAGATTGATGGACTGGGAAGTGAGAGTTTTTGATGGGACATAAACAAGTGAGCTGATATTTTCCCTATTTTTTTTAAGGAAGTAACGTATAAAATTCAATGGCCACCATAGCTTGGTAGTAGTGATGTGGCATCTTGCCTCCATTCATGAGAGGTAAATTATTATTGGGTAATGTTGGTCTTCATAATTGCAATACTTCCAAGACTAAGTGAACCAAGGATCTCCCTACCCATGTTGTTGTATTTCTTTCCCCTTTCATCTGTTCATATGAATCAACATGTCTCTTGGAGTGTATCCATTTGGGTCTATTCCAAGAAGCAATGTTTCAACTGTTTCTTTTAGACCTAACCTCTCTGCTGACCTCCAGTCTCATTTCCAAATGCCTATTAGACATCTTGACCTGGATGTCCTGTAGACATCTTAAACTCAATATGTATAAAATTGAACTCATCTTTCTTCCTAAGCTCTCCTCCCTTCCAAATTTTGCTATTCTTTTCAAAGGAACCACCATCCTCCCAGGCCTTCAAGTTCACAACCTAGGCATAATCTTTGATTCCTCACTATCTCTCACCCCCATATTCAAATCTATTGCCAAAACCTGCATATTTTGACCTTTGTAACTTCTCTTGAATACACCACCTTCTCTCCTTTGATACTGCCAACATCCTGCTACAGGCCCTCATTTTCTCATGCCTGGCCTATTGCAATAGCCTGTTGGTGAATCTACCTGCCACAAGTCTCTCCCCACCTCCAGTTCATCTTCCATTTAGCTGTCAAAGTGATCTTTCTAAAGCACAGGCCTGACCATAGTATATCCTCCCCTACTCAGTAATATCCGATCACCTTTAGAATCAAATACGAAAACCTCAGCCTGGTTTTCAAAGCTCTCATAACCCCCCACCCTGATCTTTCCAGTCTTCTTAGACTGTACACCTCACCATGTGTTCTTTGATCTAGTGACAGTGGCCTCCTTGCTGTTCCTGAAATGACTCCAGGAATTTTCTCTGACTGTCTACCATGCCTGGAATGCTCTCTCTCTCTCCTCATCTCTGCCTGTCAGCTTCCCTGGCTTTCTTCAAGTCCCAGCTAAAATCTCACCTTTTACAGGAAGCCTTTCCAAATCTCCCTTAATTCTAGTACCTTTTTCCTATTGATTATCACATATTTATCCTGTTTGT